GATTCCCTAAAAGGGAACCGAGTCCAAAAGAACTGGATTGTTTCTAGGTTTTACAAGAAATTGGGTCAGGTTTGGACCGATTCCCGATGTGGATCAGTAATTCTTGATCTTGACCACTGAGTTTTAAACATCAATTCTTGCCCATGGCTGTGACATGATAATTGTGTGATGCTTTACAGTATTCAGGAACCTTATCTTTTTGAACCCAAATGTTTCTGCAAACAAACGCGCTCTAGATGAACTTATCTCAAACAAGTGTATATGTACTATGTTATTCACAAAACGTAAGTATACTTATACGGGCAAAAGTGGCAACCAAGTTGAGTCGGTCGGCGGATCAACCCCCTAGCGGGTTGGGCATGGGTCCAAATGACACCGACCCCACCCGTGCTAGTTCTGAGTCCGGGGATGGCAAGGACGCTACCAATTTGGATCGTAGTCAACCATACCCAACATAACATATATAAATACATGTACTGAGTAATATACACAATAATTTTGTATTATTTTCAAATTTCTAGATAGGGATGGGGTCTAGGTCCAAATCACTTGGACCTAGGCCTAGGTCAGGTCTAGGTCCAAATCTAGTTCCATCATGTCTGGGGTTGACCCAAACCAGACTCGACTCAACCACCACCCTATGCGTGAGCATTTCGTCTAATCATTTGCTTTGTGAAATCTTTTATAATAGTTTTTTTAAATCCCAAATTTGGGATGTAATTCCCCAACCTAGCAACCAAATTTTTCTTAGAAAAGCTAAAAAGACCCAAATGGATTTTCTTAAAAAAGACATTATAAGATTGAATAGAGACATCCAATTTGTTGACGATTGTATCTAACTACATAGAGTCACAATTAAATACCTTTCTAGAGAATATTCTAAAGTAGATCCTAAATTTTAAAATAGAACCAATCCTTCTTGCTTCCTATTTTTAGCATTGCATAGCATCGACATTATGGTATTTTTTTGCATAGCATAACATGGACATTATAAAAGCCAGAAAGACACAAATGGATTTTCTTAAAAAAGACATTATAAGATTGAATAGAGTCATCCAATTTGTAGATATCATATCAAAGTACATAGAGTCACAATTAAATACGTTTCTTGAGCATATTCTATAATAGATCCTAAATTTTAAAATAGAACAAATCGTTCTTGCTTCATATTTTAGGATAGCATAGCATTGACATTATGGTTTTTTTTTTTTTTTGGGCAATTCGATGCGGAAGACAGGTCCGTGCCCGTTTTTTCAATAGATTGGGGCGAGTTACATTTTGAAAGTCTTAACTGAGAGTATCAACAATGGGAACGAATGGGGAGTTATATGAGTTACATTTTGAAAGTCTTAACTGAGATTGTCAAGAGCAGGAATGATTGGGGAGTTACATTTTGAAAGTCTTAAATGAGAGTGTCAACGGTAGGAATGGATACCACGATGTGGTAACTGGGTATTGAGATGCTACCACCATGAGCCCAGCCCCTTTCCTACATCAACATTACGTTGACACTCAAATAATGCACAAAAAATAGATGATCATGGTTGTATATGGTATTCTAAATCTATTATTTTTTTCTATAAATCTAATTGAAATGAATTTTTTAAGGTGACTCGCCACACTTAAGCTCACCTAAAAAAAATAAAAAATAAAAATTTTAATTTGACCAAATTACTCATGAATATTTCAACGGTATTTTGGCCTTTTTGTAAAAAAAAAATTCCGTTTGTCTTTACCTCGTACTTGATTGAAAGTGATGAGCTCCAAAATTTCAAGTTAGTTCAATTGATAGAAACATTTAAAACAAAACATTGCACGCAATCGTAGCCGTCTGTTTTCTTTCCTTTTAAGTTTTAACGTGAGTCATGTTTCATGTATCGGAGGACGAAAATATGCGTATGTTTGCGTGTATGGATGAGCACCAATGCATGTAAAATGTCTAATTTAATTTTATAGAAATTTTTGTTTTGCATTTGGTATTTTGAAATTTTAAGTATTTTATCAAAAATACCCATAAAAGATGAACGTTTTAACATTTTAACCCCCAATTGCAAGTACTCCAAAACACAATTGCAAGTACTCCAAAACACAATGATGTGTTGTTTTAAAATCAAAAGAAAATATATGGATCGAACTTTAAACAACTTATTTTTTCTAAATAATATGATAAATAGCTCATCTCTGGCGAATATTTGAATTTAATTTTTTTATTCAGATGTGGATAACGAAGGAATGGGTAAAAGACAGTATTCCGTTGTCCCCTTTGGACCATAGATGAGGCCGTTATATGGGTCCATATTACCCATTCACACGTTACGTGAGAAGAGAGAGACGTATAGGTTTTGACCAAATTGGCTATTTGTAAAACGTGCGGTTTGTATAAAGCGGAGGCTCTAAACAATCACAGTAGAGCGCATCTTCAAGTAGTATCAAGAAATGTGTGTTCAATATTGGATATATTGGTGATAACTTTCAAATGTATTTTCATCTCTAATTGTAAAAACTAAATCCTTAAAAAATAGTGTAAATTTAGCAGATCTATGAAAACTTAAATATCTTGAAAATTGACAATTCAAAAATGCATTACAAGATGTACTATTTCTAAAATTTGAAATCTATTTTATTCTCATATTCATGCAACTTGATTGTTTAGAGCTTCTACTTTATATAAATTTAGGTGAGCTCTAATTTGATTGTTTAGAGCCTCTGCTTTATATAAATTGTTTCTATGAATCTTGATGTCAAGATGATCGATTTGAGGATATTTGAGCATCAAAACAACCTCTTCTACTGAAAATTTTGAGGTGAGCTCTAATTTGATTGTTTAGAGCCTTTGCTTTATATAAACTTCTTCCATTATACAAACTATACAAAAATATAAGCAAAATGACACCATAATGTTATATGCTAAGGATCATGGGCGGATATCATCACCATAAGGGTTGCTTTTTTCATTGACTCAATAACCATATTTATATCTTACGATATCTCATATTAGAGGACATGGTTGGAAGTCAACTTAGAGTTGGCATTGCTTATGCAGAATCCCGGCTCGGGAGGGGTGAGCTGGAAACAGCCATATCTTGTGGCTTTTTGTGCACAAAATGGTTGTTCTCAGGACTTGAAACTGCACTCTTGCACTGGTTAGCCGAGCTTTTTACCTTCATCCCAAGTGACAACCTATGAATTCATTGACAGTATGATTTTTAATAGAGCAAAATGAAGGACCATGATTTATATAGTTGAACCCAGATAATTGGAAAAAAGCTTTGATGATGTTGATGATATTTTCTATTAGAGTGATAACAAATAATCATATTTTTACGCATTTTTTTCTCTCCTTAGAAATGTATACAAAAATTTCGGATTACAGCGAGGTTTATTTACACGCGGGGATTGACATAAAATTTATGCTTTGTTGAATTTCTTTATTTTTTAGTTCAGGTAAATTAAGAAATACAAATTCTTACTTTTCAATATTAGTGAGGAATTTATTTATTTTTTTATGAAATCAAAGAACTAATTTATTCTAACACTAGAACCCCATGAGATAAGTTTCTTATATAGTGCAAATAAAATCTCAAATAGCATGAATTCCCTTTTTTAAAATATCAAATAGTAAGAATTCCCCTTTTTTTTAAGTCCAAGTAATAATAAGGAATAGTATCCTCTTTTAATTTTCAACATGAGGTATCGTCATTGTTTAAAAAAAAAAATTACGTCTTAAGATAAATTATTTTTAAAATAAGAACAGTTTTCATAAAATATTTCTCACATTTTGATGAATCTAAAAAGTATTCCTGATATTTCATAATTTAAACTCATGGAGCATGAATTTTATTTTAATTTTATTGCACATTAGATTAAGATAAAAATTGGGCACTCATGATTATCTAGTCTCTCCATGGTCGACCTTTTAAAAAAAGTACAAAATCAATAATTTAAAATAAATAGAAGGAAAACTTTATCAAAATGCACCTCACTTTTCAGTAATTTCATAATTTACTCTTTTTCAACTATCATATATATTTTAATGCGTATTTTGAAATTAAATCAAATAAAAATGTTTATATAAGGCTGCAGCGTTATACTACAAAAGTAAGGTGCACATCAAAAATGAAGTAAAAAAGAGTGTTCTACAGTTAGAAAACTATCCAATTGATCATCGTGACCTTGAGATGTATGAATATAAATAAAAAAATGGATTTCAAGTCCCAAAACCAACATTTTTCAACAAATTATATGGACTGTCTATTTATAAGATTTACAAATATTTATAAGTTTGCTCAATCTACAATATTTTTAGAATTTTAAATTTTGTAATTTTGTAATTTTGAATGAACATGGATTTTCAAGCCATTATAAGATTTTCGACACTCAAACTATATCATCAAGTAAAATTTAGAAGTGTGCTTTACTTGTATAGTATAAGGTAGGTACCTTATTTAAACCTCATCCATTAGAGAGATAGGACTAAAATGTTAAATAGTTAATTCTCCATATATTTTGATAAATTTTCCTAAAAAGAATGACATAATAATCAAAAGGGTGTGGTTTTTTAGAAGGTTACAACTTTAAACAATAAAATTAAGGCGCATTACCAAATTTTATCATTACGTATAATTTTGGTGTAAAAAGTTTATAACAATATCTTAAAATCTATTTTCATATCTAATTATAAAAGTTTAAACTCTAAAAAAAAGCTAAAATCAAATAGATTTAATAAAAAATCTTGAAAATGAACAGTCTAAATAATATGTTGTAAGATGCTCTATTTATGGGACTCAAAATCTTTTTCATTTTATAATCATACATTTCTACAATGAGATGATCAATTAGAGGGTTTTTCAACATTAAAACAACTTTTTTAGATGGATTTTTGAATTCTTGCAACCCAATATCACTTTTCCCTAACCAGGTGTAAATGAGATTACAACAATTGTGAAGGGTTCTCCCGTGACATGTAACCTGATATATAAGATAGAGGTCTTAAGTCTTTTGGAAAGCCTCATGGGTCTTCTGGTATCATCATTTATCCAATCCAACTTCGAGTCGCCGGAAACTTAAAATTCCGGCGGGAACTTTTGAAATTACGGCGTAAGCTTTTGAACTCGGCGAAATTCCGGTCACTGGCATCCGATTTCCTTAGATGACAATATCAGTTAGCGGGACCTGACTCAGAACTCAGACGATTCACGGTGTCTAAAACGGTGGGTTTTCGAGCCTGTTCCCCTCTCAGTTTACATCAAAGGTCCAGCATTGTTTGTTTAATTATCCAAAACAAATCGTGTGAAAATTTTGGTTTCGTTTGAAAATTACGAGAATTTATTTCGAAACATGCAAGTGATGGAACTAAGGCAGTAATGTATTGTTTTTGCCCTAAGTTTGGTTTTATGGATATAGATATTTTTATTAATGAGCAAAGGGTAAATCAATCCACCATTTGGTTTTTTTTTTTTCCAGCGTTATCTAGTATTTTGAAGGGTCTATGATGTTCCTTTTTGATTTTAGGGTTGGTTTTGGATATGCATAGTGAATAATTTTAGTTTGAGTTTGTTAAGGTTTTGTTTTATAGATCTATTGCAACTGATAATTTTACATATCCGTGAATGAAATCACGGGCAGCGGTGTGAAATTTACCCTAATCTTGTTTCGTGGTTGCATGGAGCAAGAAATCTATGTATGTCTCATAATGATCAAATAAATTTACTATTATTATTTTACTTGTATTTTTTTGTATATAATTTTTGTTTTGGGGGGTTTATACCATGCATTTTTTTTCTTAGTTTTGGAGAACTCAGTTTCAGAAGATGCATACTGCTAATTTTTTTAAAGCAGTGTGAAATCGGCCCTATGTGGTTTACTTGGGGATGTAACTGAAAAAGGTTATTGTTGTTAATCTGAATTTTCCATTACTTTTAGATTATTTTTAGGGATTTACCTATATTCCCAGTTTAGTTCATTGGTTTTTTTTTTTTTGAGAATGTAGTGGAGTTCATTGTTATTGTGTGGCAGATAGAATACCTTGTTCTAATGAACTCTTTAATGGCATTAATTCGTTTTATGTTTTTAATCATTATATATGGATGATTTTTAGTCTGTATACTTTTCAATTCCCATGCAAATTGTATTTGGTAAATTTTTTATTTGTTTCCCAATATTTTCCATTACAGGATCTGCATCCTAGTTACTTGCCTTTTCATCACGTTTGTTGAATTTTCCGAAGACTCTTTGTAAATTCTATATGATTGTTTTGTGTAAAGAACAGTAAGGGATTAAGGTGCTCCTTCATTTTCAAATGGTTTTCAATGTAAATAATCATACAGTGGGTAATGTTGCTCATTTTCCTCAAATTAGTGTGATACATCAATTTCTTAAGAAAAAAAAAAAAGGAGGGGAAATTGTATCTTAACACTGTGACTTGCCCAAGATGATTTTTTCGAGGGATAACTTAGTTGCCACATAATTTTGTTATGGAAATGCGTGTACAATGAGACCATTTACTTTTGATACAAAGAGGTCCCAACCATCATTGACCATTAGATTTGAAATCCAGTGGTTGAGGATGATCATTGTTCAAGTACAAGGTTCAAACGAATGTTGTGACACACTTTCATCTATTAGATTTCACATCTAATGGCTAAAAGTGATTGTGACCTCTTTGTACTAAAAGTAAATGATCTCATATTATACAATCCCTTTTGTTATTATGGTGTACATCATTTATTATTTTCCGCGATTATTTCCTTTTTCATTAGTGCAATAATAACATTTTAGTTAGATTTAGTGATTATCATCTGAGCCTTATCCAAACTATTTGGGATCGCTACACGAATCTTGTTCCGCCAATTGGATTAGGATTCATGAACAAGATGTAGCAAAAGTTTTTCACTGGTTGCCACCTTAACACACTTCTCCTTTCTCATCTGGGCCTGGAGTGGAATTATTTAATGCTCATAATACATTTTATGTTAATGATAGGGATTGTTCTAAACAAATATTCTTGATAGTTATATTTGGAGTGCTTACTCTTGATATGGATCTAGTATGAACATTTCAAACATAAAAAAGTTGCTTATTTCGGCTTGTTTACCATTTTCAGGCTATGGACCGTTTCTGTTGGGTAACAGTTACAATATTTATCTGCTTTTTTGCCATTTCTGAAGGAAGAGGTAACTTTGTATTTTTTTTTTTTGTCTTTTGGTCAGTGATGTGGTGTAATACTTTTAGATTAATGTGTATTGAAATGGTGATTATAATTAATAGATACTTTCTGTTATTTTAATCAAGAATACTTGATGTGGTGATTTTCTTTATGATGTGTTCCTGTTAATGTTTCAGATCTTAAGATCAAACATGAGAATCACTTCCCTAGTTACAATCACACCCTTGCTCAGATACTTGTAGAGTATGCTTCTGCAGTAAGTCTCATTGTAGTAATTTTAATATAATGTTACTAGTTGTTGTGATATATTTTAGTTCAGAAATTGAGTTACTAATCACTCTGACTCATTGGAATGTCTACCACTTTGGACTTCTTCCTCTTCAGGTGGCTCCTTTTTTAATGGCCAGTTTTCTTCTGTTTCTGTGCCCTCCCCCTATTTGTTTCAGACACTATATATTTCTTGATTTTCCATTTCATTCGTTAAATCAATTCTTTTACATACAGAAATTAACTCCTTTTTGCACATTATAGGTGTATATGTCTGATCTAACTGCACTCTTTACTTGGACCTGTTCAAGATGCTGCACTGATTTGACAGAGGTATGTGGACTATCCATTGTAGTCATCATTCGTATTATGCAAATTTTTTTGAATATTCATATTCAAATTTTTTTTTCTTGAATATAGCTTTATGTGGCTATGGCCGTAGTATTCTATTAATTTTTGCCATGGCAATGAACTAGGTTATTAACTCAGTTTATGGCATTCGTCTTTGCTTCCACAGGGTTTCGAGATGATCGAGCTGGTTGTTGATGTACAGCATTGCTTACAAGTATGTTATTTACCTGTACCATTCAAGAGGAGTGGATGTTCATGAGTTTATTGTTATCAATGTTAATTGTTAGATATGATTTTTTCCAATAAAAAGATGGTGGATTTGGATTTATGCAACAAATGCCTAGAAAAACAACGCGGTTAAATTTGAATGTTGTAATGATGATTATTTGCATTCTTATACATGGAACTTCTTATGTACTCAGGCATTTGTTGGGGTGGCTGACAATATAAATGCGATTGTCATAGCATTTAGAGGCACACAGGAGCACAGGTATATGTTTTCTTTCTCGTTGCTGGTTCATAAATGCTATTCTATATCGGCTGTATAACGTTTGTCATTCTGTCATATTGATGGATCTGCAATGGACAGAAGCAATAATGAGTAGGTTATCAGTGCAATACAATTGCACTCGTGGTTTGAAGCCAAGATTATGATGTTTTTCTTCCATTTACGTGACTTTCCATGTGCTTGAAGTCTGACAAACTTGCACAGTATCTAAAGACAAGTGTCACATTTTTGTTCCTTGACAAGTTTGTGGATTTCATGGAACTTCTCTGATAATATCTAGAAAAGTCTTTCTATACTTATTTTATCTGTGAAGAATCAGACTCAAGTGTGTTCTCGAGTCCACTTCCTCCACACCTGCTTGTGCAATTGCTTCATTCAACCAGAGATAGCTAGTGGAACATGCGAGGTTAACACATGGGCTGACATTTTTATTAATTAGAGTTGTTGCAATGTGGGTAAAAATCGGCACATCTATAATAGCATTGACAAAGAAATGCTTCTAACAGTGAAACTATGTAAAAATGATCTATAAAAGAAGAACGAAAAAATATACATGTGGGAAATGCATTTGAACATTGGACTTTGCAATATATACATATGGGATCCATTGATGTAGCAAACCGACCAATCTTAAATAGCTTCCATATTTTTCATTGTGTTTTGAGATGTGTAGTAAGGGGAAAGCTATAAAAGTGAGGGAAAGTCCTCAGTTTGACACATCAACACATATCTGTAAAACCTTTATCTGAATGGATATGTAGCATACATTCTCTGGGAGATCCTTTATGCTGGGGATGAGACATTTTCAAATAATAATAATAATTAAAAATTCCAAAAACGTGAAGAGCTGAATGCAAATATCTGGGAGAGATGGTGGGAATATGGGAAGGGTTATTTTTAATCCTACATGGCAGGGCAAAAGGATAGAGGAAAGAGCTTGTTCATGGATGAATTACAGTTTCATTAAGTGATTGCATAGCCATTTCTGGTGGAATCAGGCTATGGTTTCATTTAGTTGTTGGTTCATACTGATATTATTTGAATGTGATGTTTTCTAGTTCCATATATGTAAGTTTCTTCATGTAATACTCACCCAAAAAAAAAAGTATCTTCATGTAATAATTTTCACACTTAACATGTGGCAGCGGACACTATAGTTCAGAAACCGCACGTAAGTGCGAAGGAAATTCTTCATATCACTGCACTCAATGCATAATATTGTTCATATTTTTTTATCACACAGTTTAATTAACTATTGTCTACTTGGTGTGATATGGTCTTATACAAATTTCTGTTATGCTCAACAGATTAATATTTATTTATAGAAATAAGTTTGGCATCTACTTCTTGTGTATTATTTACATTGCCTGAGTTACTCTAAAGTCAAAAGGAACGCTAATGTAGTTTGTTATCTTTGGGGGATGCTAATTTCCGTTCAAATTGAATGCAATATGGCAGCTTGCAGAACTGGGTCGAAGATCTGTTCTGGAAGCAGCTTGATTTGGACTACCCAGGCATGCCTGATGCGATGGTGAGTTTCTTTGATGGTTTATTTGCATATGAATCAATCCTTTGCCATTTGATTTCCAGCATGTTTGTATATTGGTTTCAGGTGCACCATGGATTTTATGCTGCTTACCATAACACAACCTTACGATCCGGAATCCTGAATGCGGTCCAAAAAGCTCGGGAATTGTATAGGGATATACCGATCATGCTTACTGGACATTCTATGGGAGGGGCTTTGGCTTCCTTTTGCGCACTTGATCTTGTGGTAAATTACTAGAAATTGTGTATAAATTAATCCATAGTTACAGTGCTCTTTTTTGCGAAGTGTGCATGACAAGTGTTATGTGCTGGCTTTCTTGAACTATCAGTATTTCTTATTCTGATACTTGATTACAATGCTAGTGTAATTGTTCGTTTTGTTCGTGTGGTTAACTTATTGGGACAATAGGTACTCATTTGTTTTTCCTGGAGACTTGTTGAATTTTTCATGTTTTCCTCTCCAAACAAAGCTTATGCTTTCTTGTTCGTCATTCTTTCTTCAAGGAGTTGCCTCTTTGCTGCCTTTATGCCAGTTATCATTCATTTGATTTGAGTCATATGTTTCTCCTTTTGGTTTTGGTAGTTCTCTTGCTGTCAGTTTTTGTTTTTTGGTATAGTTTGACTATGGGACTTCAATAGCATAGGGTTTCATGCCTAATTTTGTTGATCTTTTTCTCAGGTTAACTATGGTGTAGATAATCTTCAACTTATGACATTTGGTCAGCCACGGATTGGAAATGCAGCTTTTGCTTCTTACTTCAGTAAACGAGTGCCATATATGTTTCGAATTACCAACGGACATGATATTGTTCCACACTTACCTCCATATTATGCTTACTTCCCCCAAAAAACATACCATCACTTCCCAAGAGAGGTAAGCCCTTTTGCTTGCTATCTAAATTACAATTGTAAATTATAGCTAAATTTTCTTATGTTTGCCTGATAGAATATGCAACGGGTTTCTTTATTGATGGGGATATCTAATATTTAATACTGCGCCTTTGAGGATTGTATTTCCTAAAAGAATCAGCCATTAATTTACAAGTGATTTGGAAAAGCAAATTCATACTTACAGAGTGTCCAAATGGGGCCTTACTTTATTGCGGTTTTGAAATGCTGCATTACTCTGGACAAAAGCACTCAGTTCTTATCCGCAGTTGCCTTTATAGGCAATCGTGGAAAAAAGATCATCTTCAATGTGTATAATCTAGTGAAATTTTGGCGATAGAGGAAAAAGAGAGATTTTGTTTTCTATCCATGAGACCAAAAATGGGGCATATTGATGGTGTTTTGTCAATAGGAGGGGTTCCATTCCCTAGTTGCACCGTGACTCAGGCACATATATATAGCAGTTCTATTGATACACCCAAAGAAGGGGTCATCCAAACATGGCCTAAGCCATTGATTTGGAGCATTATTTTGTGTAGTTCTTGGAATTGTGCGAAATGCTTAGGTCGAAAACAACGTATGAAAGTGGTGGCGTGTCGTTCATGTGCGTCGATGTCTGGGGTTCGCATCCCAGTTTGTTGTTTAATTGGTGCCGTGGATGCCCCACTCCTCTCTCTCTCCCCTCCTCTTTCCTTCTCTCTCTCTCTCAAATCTCTCTCTAAAAAAAAAAAGCAACTTATGAAAGTGGAAGTGGCGGCTTCCATGGGGACCATGGAAGTGGCCACTTCTCTTGTTTGGGAAGTCACGGCTTGCGAGGCGCCGCGCCTTCCCAAAATCAAACACACCCTTGAGGTTTCTATTGTTGAACCATCACAAAGTTGTAGTCTTGTACCATGAAAAGGCTTCATATTCCTGAAACAATTCCAGGTCTGGCTTTATGATATTGGCTATGGAAGCCTAACGTACCTAGTGGAGAAGATCTGTGATGAAACCGGCGAGGACCCAGCCTGCAGCAGGTGAATTTAATCTGTCCATTTACTACTGGGTGATAATTTGTAGAAGTGCAATTTTTTCAATTTAACACTGTAATTGTTTTCACAGTCCCAATAAATGTAGGAGAGAGAGAGAGAGAGAGAGAGAGAGAGAGAGAGAGAGAGAGATGTGTGTGATCACTACCTAGTTACTTTAAGACTATCTCGTCTTCTGTACTTCGTCCTACTTTCCTTTACCTTTAACCCCGTGCAGTATCGTAGTGACGTCGGAC